TAACTCTAGTTAAATTTTTTGTTAAGATGTGAACAATGATAACGTGCACTAATTATTTTAAATAGAGTTATCTATTTAAGAATCTGGATATTTTAGTTTGAACTCTTTAATGTGTGGTCCTTTTGTTTAATTTCTTCTAATTTTTTTTTTTTGTTTTCTCAAACGGATTTGCCTTCGGGCGCCAACACACCCCTTCAATTTTTTTTTAGGAATTTGACTCTGGTTGAATTTTTTGGATAGACTTGTTTATTGATTAAATGCAGGTGCCCTTTGTATTATCATTCTTTAATGAGCTTATCATCGTCAGTTGTTTTTCTGTTTAAGATTCTGGTCGTTTTAGTTTGAACCCACAATGGTTGTTTTTTCTGTTTATGAATCTGAATCGTTTTAGTTTGAACCCACAATGGTTGTTTTTTCTGTTTATGAATCTGAAGATTGTAGTTTGAACTCATTGATATGTGTTCTGATTGTATAATTTTTTTTGGTTTTCTAAAATGCATTTGCCTGCGGGCGCCAACACTCCCCTTCAATTTTTTTTTAAGGAATGTGACTCTAGTTGAATTTTTTGGACAGACTTGTTTATTGATTACCTGCAAGTGCCCTCAGTATAATAATTCTTTAATGAGCTTATCATCGTCAGTTGTTTTTCTGTTTAAGATTCTGGTCGTTTTAATTTGAACTCTACAATATGCCTTAATATCGTATAATTTTTTCTACATTTTTTTTTTTGGTTTTCTAAAATGCATTTGCCTGCGGGCGCCAACACTCCCCTTCAATTTTTTTTAGGAATTTGACTCTGGTTGAATATTTTGGACAGACTTGTTTATTGATTACCTGCAAGTGCCCTTTGTATTATCATTCTTTAATGAGCTTATCATCGTCAGTTGTTTTTCTGTTTAAGATTCTGGTCGTTTTAATCTGAACTCTACAATATGCCTTAATATCGTATAATTTTTTCTACATATTTTTTTGGTTTTCTAAAATGCATTTGCCTGCGGGCGCCAACAGTCCCCTTCAATTTTTGTTTTAGGAATTTGACTCTAGTTGAATTTTGATAACCTGCAGGTGCCCTCTGTATTGACATTCTTAAACGAACTAGGTTAATATTGTGGGTTGTTTTTTCTGTTTATGAATCTGAAGATTGTAGTTTGAACTCATTGATATGTGTTCTGATTGTATAATTTTTTTGGGTTTTCTAAAATGCATCTGCCTGCGGGCGCCAACACTCCCCTTCAATTTTTGTTTTAGGAATTTGACTCTGGTTGAATTTTTTGGACAGACTTGTTTATTGTTTACCTGCAAGTGCCCACAGCATTATAAAATATAAAGAATATTATGTAAAAAAATTTAAAAATTTGCGTGGGTGCTAAACTAAGTGTTAGCCTCTGTATTATCATTATTTGATGAGCTTATCAACGTCAGTGGTTTTTTTGTTTAAGGTTCTGGACATTAAGTGTTTGAATATGATGATATATCATTGATATGTGTTCCAATTGTATGATTTTTTCTAAAACTTTTTTTAGTTTTCTAAAATAGCAAAATCACTAAGCACACGCAGCACGGTGAAGACGTTACTGTTATTTAGTTTTTCCATTAGGATCATTTTTCCAGTAAATCATAAATCATAATATTATATTAATAGTTTTACAACATTTTTTTAAATACAAATTTAAACAGGGCGCTTTGGATAGGCATTTCAGCTACTTTATGTACAACTCTAGGAATCCGTTATAGTTATATCTAAAACCGTGTAATGCAAAAGCAGATCTCACAGCGTCTTGTCGTCAGTTCCAAAGGGAAAAAGTTTCCATTTAGGCTACAGCCTACAGGCAACTATAAATAGTTGCCGGTATAAAATATAGACCGTGTAATTGGATACAGCCAATAATATATAATAACGATCGCTTTCGAATTGACAAGTTTATTAGACTTGATATGCAGACAACGGGGTGTGGCTAAGGTGGTGAGAGTTAATAAGACGTTGTCAGCTGTAAAATCATTACTTAGTCATTGAAGATCGATATAATAATATTTCTTTGTCTGTCCATTCCATTTATTCGAACATAACCATGGCTTACATGTGACTACATACCTACTATTTAATTTTCTAAAAATGTTGGCGTGCGCAATTTATTAGTATATATAATTTTAAAAGTAAATATTAGTTCTAAAACTTATATCCTATAAGTTAATAATTTTTACATAATTAATGTTATAACTGGTTGCAAATCATAGGTTTCCGAAAAAAAAAATTTTTAAAATTTGCATGAGCGCTAAACTTTATGGATTAGACACTAAATTTAAAAATAATATTTTAGGGTTTTAAGATCTCTTAGAAAACTTTAACGTCTAACGATAAAAAAAAAAAAAAAAAAAAAAAACATAAAAAAATCTAACTAATCAAAGCCAAGAGTCACTAATGGGTGGTTGCTTAACTCACAAAGTTTCATGTCTTTAAATAACTCTCAGCATATAAACTTATTGTGCAAAAACTGTATAGATTGTTTATTTCAAATAAAGAAAAAAAAAAAAAGGGTTTTAAGAAATCGTCTTCAAATTATCACTTTTAATTATTTTATATAGGGATATTATTGGTAGGTTAAGTTTCTATTTTATAATAGATCAATAGCCAATAGGTTACGTAAATCACATTTTGTTATTTAAATCCCGGTAGTCAATTTTTTTACAAGTAGATACATAGGTAACTTATAATAATTCATATTGTATTTTAATTAGGTACCAAAAAAATATAACTTCTCAAACACCGTGTCTAGGGGCACTGGCGGGAGAATGTATTAGAATGTTCATAAACTTGCGGACCTGCAATCTGTGTAGTTAAATTTGGCATGCGTACTATAACAGAAATCGAAAACTAGAATAAGTACATTGCAGATCACAAAGATTTCTTTAAATGAACATACGATTTACCAATAGACCGTATTATAGGACATAGGTACTGAGCTCGATGTAGCCGATGTAGGTAAAACGGTGTAGTCACTATCAATATTGTACGTATGAGAAATAATTGAGTACCGTTTTTACGGCAGCTTAGTTACACAATTGTCCACCAGGAAGCTCTAAGAAGGCCGGTTTTGGAAATATTTTATAAGCAATATGGTTATTATTTCAATATATTTTTTTGAATAATAAACATATTATTAACATTGTAACGATACACAATTATCAATACATTTATTAAATCTGAATATGTTTCGCCCTCTATGAACGCGCTAATGCGCGAACGTAAATTACAACGCGCGCGCTACCGCAACACTGGTACCTATCTTTTCACATAAGTTCACTGTTAAAGTTGCATTTACAAGTGTGTAAATGCTCACTGTTCAACTCAAAACATCATAGAAGACATATGAAACACACCGCGATGTCGCTATAAGTTCTTCACATGGTAGAAACACACATTTTATAAGGAAGCTGAGTGACGCCACAACACCATCTAGAGAGCTCGCCGTCACCCATGCTTTCCGGTCGGACACAGAATACTCAACTTTATCGCAAGCACCGACAAAAGTTCATATAATCTTTATCACCATCATTTTCCCCGCAAGTTACTGAAACGAACAACCATAGCCGCCCAAGGGGTAGGAACCCTACAACCCATGAAAACTTGCGATTAACGCACGTAAAATTCATACGACACAAAACGTTATCTGTAATCACCGAACAGCAGATATACCAGCCAGAACGGCCTACCTAAACACGTTTGGACTCACATACGGACCTACATACGTACACACATTCAGCAGTCTATTTCGTTTCGCGTCTTATTACAAGTGTAAAATCGTCTTCCCCGCACAGCCCTGTCCCGATACTCGCAGTGCACGGAAAAAAAAATATCTGAATAGTCTTTAACAAAATAGCATTGTAAAATAATTTATTGTTGTAACAACTATAAAATAATAATTATAACAATAAATTCAGTTGACATTAGAAAATTGTGTTTTCAAAGTCACAGGAATAATATTGTTAATTGTTGTTTTGATAACGTAACACAATTAATAATTAAGATAGCAGATGAATTGCAACCATTGAACTATATAATAATTATATAATAATTATTATATAGTTCAATGATTGCAAGTTGCAACGGCTACAAAATTGAAGAAATAACCAAACATTTTGACAAACCTAAATAAACTGTCCAATAGTTCCAACACTATTGCCTAGTTTACACGATGCGTAGTACTTGTCATTAGTACTTGTCACTCGCACTTGCACATTGCGTGTAAACAGAAAAAAAAGTGCTTAGTATTAGTAAAACCGGGAGTGCGAGTGAATAGAACGCCGTTCTATTTACTAACGACAAGTAGCTACCCATGAGCTACTTATGACAAGTACTACGCATCGTGTAAACCCGGCATATATTATACTAAATCAACGTATACAATTTGTATTAATAACAAGATATTGTCAGTATCGATAGCAATTTGTTTATAATAATTGTTAATAATAAGTGCCAAACGTTTGGTTGATTTTACTGAACAGTGAATATTTTTTCTGCTAGTAGATAGTAGATCCTGCTTATGTTTTATTGAAATGACGTTTCAATTTGGTAAAAATAGGCATTACGTTTGGAATAAAACCCAAACGTTTGACTGATATGACAGATTATTCTTGTAAGTTCACGATAATACGACATCGTATATCGCGACCCGCGTGGCCGCGTCCTCGTGAGTCGTGACACAATTCACTTTACTTCGAGACTCGAGTTTTGTAGTGTATACCTACTGTATAGTGTATACGATCGCCATTTTAACTTGTTATTAAAACGTTAATTGTGTTAATGTTATTGAGTGCTCTTTTTTTGTTTATTGTTGACATGACATTGTGCTTTATTTATATGAGTTGAACATTTAATGTTATAAAATATTAATTATAAGTGATTACTGATTTGTATTATCTTATGGCCACGTGTGTAGCACACTAGCACATTAGGTACGTATTATTTATTACTAAGAAAATACGATATTCTTGCATAAGAAATGGCTGATGATGATGTGTCAGATATGTTGAAAGCTTGGGGCCTAGAATCTTATACAGACGTATTTAAAGGTAATATATCCATTAAATTTAATATTTGAGTGCTGTTGCTTAATGCTTACAATTTTTTTTTATTTTTTTGTATCTCGATAACGTGCTAATATTTAATAATTTTTACCTAATTAATAATTATTAGAACATGGAATAGATATATCATGCTTAGCGCTTTTAACTGGTGATATGTTGAGAGAAATTATGCCTATGATTGGAGACCGGGCAAAGTTTAATGCTAACTTGGAAGAGTGGCGTAAAGTTATTGCTCTTGCTAATAATCAAGCACCGTTTACGGTATTGGCTAATTTACTATAGTCTATAAGTAACTACCTAGTACCTAGGCATATATTTTATTATAATGTATCATTTTTAAGGAATTATCGAATGATTCCCATTTCACAATCGAAATTCCATCACCAGTATCGCTCACTTCTTTGACAGCAACAGATTCAGAAGTCTCAAGTTATTTTGATACTCAACAGTCTTATTCATCTAATGATATTCAAAATTCTCAAGGATCCTAGTCAGTCTGGTATTACGGAATCAATTAATTTATCTGAAGTTGTTGAAAAGGTATTTATTTTTTTAAACATTTCAAGCCTAATTTCCATTATTAATTTATTTTATTATTAATATAATTGGTTTTTATTAATTGGTATAAACATTATGTTATGATTAGATAGTTAATATTGTTTTTTAAAAATATATATTTACAATTAAATATTTTGAATAATATGTGTTACCTATTTTTGTTTTTTAGGATTGTGATTTGTTAAATTACTTGAAAAGCACCACTGAAGGAAAGGCTTTATTAGCAACTTATGACGCTGATGGTTTATTAGACAATAGTGGTCAAAGAAAAATTTGTAATTTAATTGTCAGAAGAGAGTTTCAAGAAGATCCTGAAAAATCCGTCAAAACTCAAAGATTACATTTTTTAGCTCAAGAGATAACAAAAGTTTTCCCTAAAGAACATTTGAGTACATATTTCATACCCTATATGAACTATGGTAAATACTAATTTAATATTAACATGTAAATTAAAACATTAAAGTAAATCATTAAATATTGTTATACATTAAAGTATAATCTATCATTATATTTCTTTTACTACAGGTCCGTCAATAAAAAAAGCAGCAAAAGGAAAACTCCTCGATTGCTTCAACAACAAAAGAAGGGAATACAAAAAGGCTGGGCTCATTTCTTCGACCAATCGTTCCCCTTCTTTTGAAAATTCTTCAGCCTCACTTTTATTGAATCAGACTACATCAGAAACTGGTAAGTTTATAACTATAATCCATGTCTAATGATTACTTAAGACTTCTTTGAAATTGAATTTGAAATACTATTTTCAGGACATTTACCTATTATGTTTGTATTTATTTATTTATTAGGTAGTTAATAACAATAAACAATTACAGCTAAATCGGTTCAGTAGTTTTCTCGGTTAGTGCGGTCGTAGAAACCCCCTTACAATTTTATATAGAAGTATAGATAACCTATACTTAAATAAAAATATTGCCAATTAACAAAATCTTTAAATTTTACTCTATAAATGTTTAAAACTTTTAAAATAGTTACTACCATAAATAGATAAACTAATTTTAAACCATACACCTACAACCTACACATTTTAAAGAAAACAAGTAATGCATAAAAGTTATATATTAAACTTAAGTCTCGTTGGAGAGGTTACAATTTAAATTGAACTATTATATCTAGTAGAATAAGAGCGCGAAGAGTAATTAATTAATTCCTTATAATTAAACATAAATATAGGTAGGTACATACATTTTTATTATTCAAGGCATCCAAATTAGATAGATAATAATCATTAAAAATATTACTTGGGTATCAACTTGGTTTGAAAAATATAAATCTTAAAAGAGATTTCATATTATTAAACTTAAATTTATTTATATTTTTATTCTAAGCATTTCCCCAAAATAGTATTCCATAAACTATGATGAATTGAACCAAACTTACAAAAGTTATAGTTCTTAATTTAGGTGATAAAAATTAAAAATATAAAATATTTCTGAGTATACTGAAAATGTAAAAAAAATTGTTTAACAGTATTCTTGATATAATTAATTTGAATTATCCATTTTAAATTGTCATCAATGAAAATACATAAATATTTAACATACTCTACTTACTATAACCTAACTACTGTTTTTTTTTTTTAAACATTATTTTGTCTTTAAATTGAATTTATTCCTAATTTAAATTATAGAAAATGTTGATGAACAAATACAATGGTTAAATAGTTCATGTGACCCTTGGAATTTGGTGCAGAAATATTGGGAAATCACTAGAACTAAACGCTTAAAAGATATACTCAGTTTAAATTCTAAAGGTGCTATTCAGCCTTCTGATTACATGAAAAGTTTTCCAGCTTTAAAAAATCTGTCTGGCTATATTCTTGTAAGTATCATACAACTTAATAATATAATAAAATTCAATGACTTCTAATGAATTTCAAAATTGTAGTTGATTGAAGACTTTAACTCCATCCAACCTTTTTGAAAATTTCCCTGTGTACAAAGACAAGATTCTTCAATTAGGACAAAAAATATCTAATACACTCAAGGATCCTAGTTTAAAGTGTATTATAAAAGACTATCTAGATTTGGCAGCATTAGGTAGTTTTTCTTTTTAAACTTAAACATATTTTGGTTAACTTATCTTTTTAAAATCATTATCATTTAATTTGTTTTTAGAACGTGGAGAAACTTCATCTCTAGCAGCGTTTATCATACTTCCATTCCTCTTCTTTCCTGTTACAACTAAGAGGAAAAAAGGAATACCTGCTTGGGGACCTTCAAAAATTGAATCCAGAGACGGCTTCATTACACATATAAAATCAAATTCAGAACTTATTGAAACAATTACAAGACGGAAACAAAAGTATAGTCAATTGGGTATAACTTTACAGCCTCTTATTATAATAGTAGGACCTAGTATTAATGAAATTTCTAAATATTTTGTACTTGTTAACGATACATATTATGTTTTAAATTCAATTGTAACTGCAGTAGATACTCATGCCTTAAATTTACTTTATCCGGTAGAAAGTTTGCCCGTGTGGAGTTTTATCCAAAAAAGTTTTTATAAAATAAAAACAGCTTATGATTCAGAATACGTTTCTGTTAATTCTCTGCTCAGTGATCTTGACATTAATGTTATTTGATAACTTAAATTATTAACTTTTGAAACAATTGCCTACTTAATACATATTCACCTATTTAGCAGGAAGCAATTTTTTTTTTTGTTATTTCATAATTTATCAATACTTCAAACTATAAAATTTAAATATAGATAAATATAAATAAGTTTTCATACGTCAGGTTTATTGTTTATTCTATTAAAACATGCCTTTTTGTTTTTTATGCATGGTGAATTTGCCAAATATCTCATTGTTATGTAAACATTTTCATATCAAGCATAACACTCATGATTTTTCATCGTATAATTGTGCAGAAGTAGGCTGCAGTAGATCTTTTCATGTAGTAAATTCATTAAAAAAACATCTAGCTACACTTACATTAAATGAATGTACATTAACTAAGAAAACTGTTTCAACTCAAAATGTAACGGTTAAAAATGTATCAACAGAGAATATAAACGATAACACAATTTCTATAGATAAGTTAGATACAATTCTATGTATACCAGAATCGAGCCCTAATAATAATAATTGTTCAACTAAAAACAGTATAAGAAAAGTAATAAGTTCCTTATATGCTAATCCCCAAATTCCTCGTAATGTAGTTCAAACAGTAGTTGAAGATATGACAGATATATTTAACAGTTTACATCAAACTATAAAGCAGTGGTTGTCAACCTTTTTGGGTCCACGGCTCCTTTTGATTTTGAAATAAAATATACGGCTCCCATACGAACATTTAAAATAAACAAATTTACATTACTTATAATAATTTTAATCTAACTTTATTTAATGATAAACATGTAATTAGGTATTAATAATAGGAAACATTTTTTTACATACAATTAAAAAATTAATACATTAATAATAATTTTAATTTTTAATGGGACGGCTGTGCTTGTTTTTGTTGCATTAAATCATCTAATCGTGGGGTAAATTTTGATAGTGCGATTCTCATTTCCTTTTCGGTATTTAGTTTTCCTCTGTATTTACTTTTGATAACTGCTAAGGCCGAAAAACCCGTTTCACATAAGTATGAAGAAGCAAATGGAATTAAAGTCCTGATAGCCTTATTGGCTACGATCGGATATTGCTCGAAATTTTATTTTTAGTTTCTATTGCGAACGCGGCTCCCTTGATAATAACCGGCGACGCCCCTGGGAGCCGCGACGCACAGGTTGAAAACCCCTGCTATAAAGGAAAAAACCAACCAATTACTTTTAAATGATACTATATCTAATGAATCTTTTGATCATTTTAACAATATTTTAAATGAATTTGAACACCCATTTTCAGACCATAACACAGAGTACAAAAGAATTAAATATTTTACTGAACTTGGGACATATATTCCTCCTCGTGAATATGTCGTGGGTGAAAGATTAACTGAAACTAGAAAAAAAACTTTTTCCTTGGTTTCAGTCCATTGCACAGCACAGTTTATTCCGATACGTGATGTATTAAAGAATTTTTTCCAAATTAAAAACTTGTTATCAAATACATTAGATTATATGAATGAATGTAAACTTAATGAAAAAATACTTTTAAATTTTTTGCAAGGTAGTGTGTGGAAAGATAAAGATAAATATCATGAATATCAAACTGTGGTTCCAATTTTTTTATTTTTTGATGATTATGAAATTGGCAACCCATTGGGTAGCCATTCTGGTATCCATAAGCTTAGAGCTGTGTACTTATCTATTCCTTGTTTACCTCCTCATCAGAAATCTTCTTTAAATACAATTTTTTTGGCATTATTATTTCATTCATCAGATAGGCAAAAATTTGGAAACAACGTTATATTATTTAAGCCACTTATTGATGAATTAAATTATTTAAGAAATACAGGCATTGAAATTGAAACAGATGATTTGAAAGTAAATTTAAAATTTGAATTAGGTATTATAATTGGAGATAACCTTGGAATTCATAGTATCACCGGATTCGTTGAAAGTTTTTCTTCCAACCATCCATGTAGAGTATGCAATATTAGAAAAGAAGAATTGAGAAAACAGTGTTATGCTGATGATAATTTGTTAAGAACTGTAGAACAATACAATATTGATGTTAACGAGGGAGATGTTTCAAACAGTGGTGTTAAAGAAAAATGTGTTTGGCATGATGTTATAGGATTCAATGTATTAGATCAGGTTGGAGTTGATATTATGCACGATATACTAGAAGGTGTTGGAAAGTATGACTTGGCATTTTTAATATCCTACTATGTCCATGACTTGAAAGTATTTTCATTACAAATTCTTAATGAGAGAATAGTGTGTTTCGATTATGGCCCAGACAAAGGAAATAAACCATCTGTATTATCTATCGAACATATTCAAAAAAATAATATAAGGCTTTCTGCATCTGAAATGTTATCATTTATTCGTTATTTTGGAGTTTTGATTGGGGATTTTGTTCCTAGAAACGATCCTGTATGGTGTATTTATATTTTGCTCAGACAAATTATTGATCTTACAACATCTACAACATTACAAAAAGAGTGTTGTGAACTGATCCAAACACTTGTTGCAGAACATAATGATCTATATTTAAAATATAGTAAACAACATCTCAGACCTAAGCATCATTTTATTTTACATTACCACACAATGATTAAAAAGTTTGGTCCATTAGTAAATTTATGGTGTATGCGCTTTGAGGCAAAGCATAGAATTTCAAAAATATCAGCCAATTCCTCTAGTAATCGACGTAATATTTGTATGAGTTTGGCTATTAGGCAACAATTACTTCTCAACAATCTGTTTATCAAGGGAAATTTAGGTAATACTATTGAACCAGGTTCTTCTAACAATCTAATTAGTGACACTGATATCCAAAATATAAAAAAATTTATGGTAATAGATTCTTTAGATTCACTAATTAGTTGTTCTTGGATTTCTATTAAAGGTACTAAGTACCGAACCACAATGGTTCTTACTCTTGATGTAAACCAAAATAGTCTCCCCGAGTTCGGTATAATACATGATATATATTTTTATAATAATACAGTAGTTGTATTTAAATGTTTAAAATTAAATACTATCGGTTTTGATGAGCATTTTTGTTCTTATGAAGTAATTAAACTTAGAATTAATGAAGTCCTTATATATCATCATATGCTCTATACTCATATTCCTAATAATATTAGTGTACTGTCAAATGGCTCTACATATGTTACATTGAGAAGTGCTATTTAGTATTATTGTTATATTATATATTATAGTTTTAAGGTATAGACTATAGATATTCAAAATGTCAAGTAATATACAATATTGATTGTATATTACTTAAAGTTTAAACCTTACTAAATTGTATTAATTATGTTATGTAATCACGTGTCATAAAAATAAAAAAATTTGAAATAATAAATGATGTATATTTTTTTACATTTAAATACCTAACATGTATTCTATTCGTACTTTTAGGGAGCTTTTAAAGTTGTTTGGGGCTTTGTCTCTCCTTCTGATTGTGTCACTGAAACCAACAGAAGTATACTTTAAAACTAACCAAAATGGTTGTATAATTGTTACAAACAATAGGTACCTACTGCAAAAAGCACCAAAATGGTTATGTAATTATTACAAACTATACTGCAAAAAAGCACTAAATAATTTTGTAGTTCTTACTAAAAAATTTCTATTTGTATAAGAAGAATTATTACTTATAACGAAAAATAGTGTTTTGATAGCAAAATTGTTTGGTAAATATTACAAAAGTATTTGTGAACAACTCACAATTGTCTATTGACTTCTGACAGTCCAATGTATAGCTACAGTAAAATTGTACAGTTACCACTATCAAAATAGTTAACATTAAATACATTGTAACTTCTACATAATATTTTGTTGTCACAGAGGCAACCAAAAAAATTGATAGCAGTTATAAGATTCTTGCTGAAATTACCAAATATTTTTTTCCGTGTGGGCAAGTGGGTGTCGCTCTGCTGTACAGTAGGTTACAAGTGGGTCACTGTATAATATATATGTATATGTATATGGATGATATTAAATTTGAATTCAACGATATAATATCATTGTATAAGAAAAACGATTCTGAGCGGAGACGGTATAAAGACCTATAATAAATTCCAAATTAATCATATCACAATATCCATTAGGTACCTATAGGCTATAACGCGTATACATCAACAAAAACCGTGATACTATCATAGATATATAATAGTACACTTTAGAAGTTTCAAGTACCCACGAATAAGGTTACCTTTCTAATATTATTCAATCACAACAAAATAACTAAAATAGTTATTCTAGGTAAAAGATTCTGAGTGGAACGATGAATGTATTGATTTAAGATTTTACAATGATGTGTGTTTTTTAATTTTTTAATTTTTTTTGTGTCTGTGTACAGTGTACACGATAAGTAGTCGAATAATGCTTCGATTTTCGACTTCAGTATCTTGTTCGATTGGAAAGTGAATATCGTTGGTGCATCGTGGAGGTCAAAATTTAAATTTCACAGTAGTTTTCAAAAGCGCCGGGAAAAACAAAAGAAAAATTAAGGAAAAACGGGAATTTTTACTCAAAATCTGTCTTCGAGAAAATCGATTTTGAATTTTGGTGTAACTTTAAAACAAATGACCGTAGATACATGAAATTTTCAGTTTTTGTTTATATTTGCATTTTCTATACACGATAACATTTTCAAAATATTTTGATTTATTTTGAACTGTTTAGGGACATTTTCAGTTTCCAATTTTATTAGTTTTTTTTTTAATGAATATCAATAAAAATGTATTTGTCGAGTAAAAATACTTGAAAATTTAATACAAGGCTCCTACTATATTGTTTCAAAGACAGATGAAAAATATTAAAAATACATAGGCACAGTTTTTTTTTGTAAACATTTAAAGATCGAATTTTGACAAAATTTATCAAAATCTTGAAAATTATCAATCATTGTAATTAATAAATTATAAAATGTTCAGTTTTTAATGCTGTCATGCTGGACCTAATCGAACCTCATTTAATCAATTATTTTTTTTAATTTTCAATAAAAATTGTTTCATGCGACAAATATTTTTGTCGAATGCGATAAAACCTTCGACAAGAATGATGAAACAGAGTCGGTGGTACCAGGGTCGCATGGGCTAACCGCTTCGGCATTGCGTCGTCGGCTCTCGGTATGTAGTTTTGTCGGCGGCGGCGGCCGCCGCAGCCTGTAGGCTACGACTATGTTTCATCGGACATCACGATCACAGTATACGTTCCTGTTACATATATTTCAATGTTTCGCGTTGCTGCAACGTTTCCAGAATGTTGTACCCAATCTTTAATTATTAATCTTAATTTTATATTAATTTTATAAAGTCATAATAATAATTACAGGGGGACGGGTTCGATTCCTTGGTCATGGGTGGCATTTTTTTTTCTATAAATATCAATTACGTTTTATCTGTTGGGCCAAAAAGTGTAAAAATTTAAGGCGGCTCTAAACGATTGGATTTTTCATGCATTTAGACCAATAAGCTGGCGAAAAATACACATACTTCTAGTAGTCAAATTTTAATTTTGAATACTTATTTGGATTCGTTAGCCTCTTTTCTATGATCTGTAGGAAAAACTTTTTCATATTTTTGTCTAGTTAGCACTTAAAAGTGCAAGTTAAATTTGAGAAATCAAGCAGTCATTTGGAACCGTAATATACGTAAACTATCTATAATATCCAAAATCGGTTTTCTACAAATCATAGAAAAGAGGCTGACGAATTCAAATAATTTTTCAAAATTGAAATTGGACTACTAGAACTATGTGTATTTTTCGCCAGCTTATTAGCATTTTTTACTGTTGTGAGTGTACAAAAATATTTTTCGAGAGTGATTACGTTGACTTGTGCATGCGCGTACGTGTGCTATTGAACCGTGTGCCCGCAGCCGGGCGATATAAAATCTATTGTTATCGAGTTCGAATTTCTTCGAATTTCACACTAATAATCATTTACGACTAACACATAGATTACGGGCGGCGACGACAAGATTAGAAATTGCCTAAATTGTTCCCCTTAAATAATAGCCACTAAGAGCCGCCTTAATACAAGACTCCTGATATTGTTACAATATTAGTTCAAAAACATTAAAAATACATAGGCACAATTTTTTTTTATAAACATTTAAGGGGTATGAATAGTATTGAAAAAATCTATAAAAATGTACTTTTGTATTTCCAATAATATGGTTTATTAAGTGGTTTGAGAGTAAAAACACCTATCATCAATATTGTAGAAGAGAAGTTAATCTGTGCCTGTATAGAAGTCAAATTTTGATATTTGTAATTACTAAGCTCAAAAATTCAAATTCAAAAAGTAAAATATCATAAGTTTTAGAGTTAAATATTGGACATTGAAAATAAAATATCGAAAATCGACTCCTATACAAGCCTAGAGAAACTCCTTCTCTTCAATTTGTATAATAGGTGTTCATACTGTAATGTTACTCAGTAAGCTATATTATTGGAAATACGAAACTAAGTTTCAGTGTTTCACTAAAATTCACATTTGTAATTAGAGTGTAAAATGTTCCGCTAATGACATGTGCGTGCACGTGCGGGTGTGCTCCACTATTTATTTTATACACACTGTGTATTACACAGTCACCCACACTAATAATCACTTACTACGCACACATTTACACGACCCGCATGCACACCATTAGAAAATTGCCTATACCAAACTCCTTAGAAACGGTCGGTATGCATACCCCTTAATAATATTATATTGTATCGAATACAATGTAAAACACATACTATACTATACGTAAGACAGGTAGAATAATTGCAATCAAATAAATGAATTATTAGGTACCTACCTCCTGTGGGATTATATACACCTATTGTCCATCGTATATATGTTATCATATCAAATTGTATTTATTGCAGTGATGAAATATCTGTTGTTACTTGTTCAATTATCTTATAATAATAAAAAATATACTAAATCGTATAGTCTAGTTCGGGTGACTTTCGTGTTTTAGCAGGCGAAACAGTTACAATAATTGTGACACTATTTATGTCATACCGTATACATATTATAATATGTGCGATATATATTTACTTGACAATCTTGATGGAGAGCGACAGTGACGTTTCTATTTTACTGAAATATTTTTTCGTAATCCATCACGGTCGGTTAATATGCTGAGATAATTATAAATTACAATACTTCCGCCGCTCGCAGCACAAGACAGAAGGATATTATCGTCCGCTTATACACGTCTTCGAGTCCTCTCGTCACATTCCGTTCTTCGATGTCTTCACTCGGCTGCATAATATTATTACAAAATTATTTGTGTTCACGTCCTATTGCCTCAGTGTTCTATGACGTGTGTGTTACCGGTGCCGCGTTAGAACTCACGAACAATACTTACAGCTCATATAATACAATATATTATTATGATGTAACCCTTTGACTCGTCGAGCGCCGAGACATAATTGTCACTATAGAAACGCTCAAAACGCTCGTCAAACACGTGTCACGTCATAGGTATACCGTTTTTTTTTCCGCCGTCTAGATATTTAAAATATTTAAAAATAGATTTCGTTGACTGGCGTTGCATTATACACGTGAATAGTTAATAATGTTTAAAATCCGATTAAGGACGTCGCGTTAACTAGGGACATGATAATAATAATATGTATTATACCTAATATTATACATAAAACACCTGTGAAAACTTCGTTACCCGATCATTTTGAATTATAACCATCGTCGTATTATACATATTATGTGCCCTGGTCCACATATTACTACGATTCGTCCGCTGATCATTTGTCGTGTAATAAGCTCTGTGAAAACGATTATACACGGACTTCGCACCTATCCCTCGAACTGCGTCCAACTCGTAAGTTAAAATATAGGCAAGTGGCACGAATTGCATCCCAAATCGAATAATTATTAAACTTCATACTTTTTTAGTGGTTTCCAATATCATTATTAATTTTTATTATATATTTTTATTTTTTATGTGAGTACGTAGCTTATTACATCATTAACTATAACGGTTAATACAAAAAAAATAAGTATTTTAAATTAAAGTATTTTAAATGAGACATTTTTTTTGGCGACATCCCCTTTGACTTATGCCCATATCAGTTCTATTGGGTTATATTGGCAATGGTAAGGTGGGAGACGCACGACTTCATGTCCCATTTCCAACACGATTTGATCAAGCTCATATATTTTTTGT